CCCCCCCCGCCGTGCCAGGCGCCCGCCGCCGCCGCCATGGCGCCCCGCTGCGAGGCGAGATGGGGCCGTGACCCAGGAAGCGGAAACGGGGCCGGGATGAGGAGGATCCGGGGCGGAGCGGCTGGGGGAGCCCGCCCGGGCCTAGACCAGCGTGAATTAAGGTCCCCGTTTTCCTCTAGCCTTTCTCTGGACGCAGATCTCCTTTTCCCCATTGTTTACCCAATTTTCTAGTACCGCTTCCCATTCTGCAGTTCACAGACGATGACAAACCATCGCTGAAGCACTACCTGAGGTTTTTTTTTATTACTTTTTCCATTTTTTTTTCCCAAATAGCTCTGAGCAGCTCCATGTTCTCCCCAGGTGCCATCCTCGGGGCTTACATGCACTTTGCCTCCCTCCGTGCTCAAATCTGGCAAGCAAATGGGGAAATGCTCGAGCACAGGCCAAAGGGATGACAAACAACTCTCCTCTCCCAGTTCTGGGCTGACGTTGGGCCACATCAGACGTTAACATGTAACATATGCGTTAGCACATACATGTTCTGCTATTAGAAACTGCCTGTTTAGTTTGGTGGATGCTACAGCAGGAACCACCTGGGGAGGCTGTGGGATGCTGAGATCCTCCCCGCTGGGTTTTCATCAGCCCATGGAGATGTGCAGGTGATGCTTCTCCATTGGGTTTAGGCACAGCAGGAGCTCCTGGGGGAATCTTCCAGTCCAGATCCACCAGTAAGAGGTTTCCTATGGAAGGCAGCTGGGAGCACAGTCCATGGGTCAGTCTGGTCCCTCGCCACTGCAGGAACAAGTCAGGGAGTACCTGGACCACCCTGGGACTTTATATCTTTCACATGCTGTGTGTGTGCCTGGGCACAGCCCTGATTTCTGGCCACACCAGTTATACCCAGGGAGACAAAACTGAATTTTATCCTTCTGTCACACTTAAATCTTTAATACTATAGCTTAAGAAGGGGTTCCTCTGGGCAGCTTTGGAAGGCTTCCAAGCAGTCCTGGGGGCTTTCTATGTTTTCCAGCCTGCTGTGGTGGCCAAGGGACACTCATCTGGCCTGGCTGCTCCACTCCACTAAGTTGGGAGGGAGTGTTGATCTTCCT